TTAATTAATTTTAATCAAAATAAATTAATCATATTTATGAAAATTTAATTTGAGATAATTAGATTTATTTGATTATCTTAATTAAAGATGAGTAAATATGATTAATTAGTTTTAATTAATTTTAATTAATGTTAAGTTAATTATTTAATTAGACTAATTATCTCAATTAATTAATTTCAATTTTCAATGTTGGTCATAATTAAAATTATCTTTCGTTTATTATAAATTTTACCCAAAACTTTTATAATTAAGCAATTCAGTCCATGGGTTTTAACTCTTTTCAAATCAATTCTTCATGTTTTGAATCTTAATTAAATCAGTCCTTCATGTTTCGAATTTAATCAAATTAGTCCCTTTAATTTTATTTGTGCTTAAGATGCATGCTTGTCTTTGATTTTGTCCATTTTAGCCCAAAAATTAAAAAATGTTTCAATTTGGTTTACCCTTCTTTCAAACTTACCTATTAAGACTCAAACATAAACACAACAAGTAAGTTGAATCAAAACCCCAATTTTGAAGTATGCAACCGTGTTTAAACGGAGGATTGTGAGGTGCGCGTATGCCCTTCCTCACTCCTAACCGAACCCCCAAACCTCGATTTCTGTACAGACCCGTTTTAGGTGACTTGTCCCACCTTATAATTTGAACGAATGACGACTCTTTTCTCTTTTTATATCTTCACACTTAATCCCATTTTAAGTGGTCGTCAACAATAAGCATAATTTTTTAAACAACTTTTTATATAATTTTTACATATTATTAAATAAGTGAATGTATTTAATATCACATGATCTAAATAAATAAAAAAAATTCTAATATAGCACAATTTAAGGGTTTTTTTTATCATAAATGTATATAAAAAATATAAAAATTAATATTAAATTTAGTGTTGGTGTTAAATAGATGAATTTAATTAGATAGGTAAAAAATTAAAAATTAACTTTTATTTTGACATAAATTTATTACAAAAAATATATTTATTATATTTTTAATTTGTATTCTTAGAGTATAAGTTAGGTAAATTTATTAATAAGAAAAGTTAATTATTTAAATGATATGTAAAATTATATAAAAAATAATATAAAAATTTATTTCTAAATTTTTTTTCATCTAATTGGACAAAACCAAATGTCAAATCTCTTGTCACTTAGGCATGAGATGACTATATTTGGCCACACAAGGCAGTCCCCAAATGGCAGTTAACAACAGTTAACTGCAGTTAAGTTACTGTACTAGTAAGGGCTAAATTGCTTCTATTGTAGAGTTCAAGGGTTTATATGCATCAATTAAAGTCTGAGGGCTTAATAGCGATTCTGAAATTAGTTCAGAGACTTAACTTATGATTTTGCCTTAAAAAAAAGTGCACCCTCTACTAGAAAGACATTTTCAAAAGTTAAAAAGGAAGTAGTATCACTGTTACTGAAAAAGCCAGGTAAATTGTGCAGGGAAGAGTAAAGAAGTAGATGAGATAAAACAGCGGCAGTAACGACCGACTGCTGCCGTAGAGCAACCGACGAAGAGACGGAGTAGAGGAGGAAGGGAAGGCTGAAAACCCTAACAGGAGGCAGATTTAGGAGAGGAAGGATAGGAATCTGTTTGTCCAAACCAGGTGGTGCGGCGCGCAGAGCCGCACCAGCCTCACTAAGGCTCTCGCCCCCTGCCGCTGCGCTACCTGTACCTGATCCCTCCGCCAACTCCGCTGCCGCTTCTAACGACGGATCCTCTTCCGGTAAGATGAAGGGGCTTTTTAAGTCGAAGCCGCGAACTCCGGTCGACATCGTTCGACAAACGCGGGATCTACTTATGTACGCCCAAAGTCAAAGAGGTCCCCCCGACCTCCGCGAATCCAAGCGGGAAGAGAAGGTCTGCTTACACAACTGAGCTCACAATAATCGATCAATTTCTTTCATTTCTGTTCACCTGAATCGTATATTTTTGTTGATCGGAAAGCTAAGATTATTCTGGACACCACTGATTTTGTTTTCGATTCATTCAATTGGCATATGAACTAGTTCACATTCAGTATTATAGGTCTTTAGAACTTGAAATCAATTTAGGAACCTAGCAATTCATTTATGCGATTTGAGTTTTTCTACTGCAGATGGCGGAATTGTTTAAAAATATTAGAGAGTTAAAGTCAATTCTTTATGGAGATAGTGAATCCGAGCCGGTTACAGAAGCTTGTGCACAATTGACTCAGGAGTTTTTCAGAGAGAACACATTGCGGCTTTTAATTACAAATCTTCCAAAACTGAACTTAGAGGTAAGTTTTTGCTGTGTGGATTTTTCAGAAAGTCAAATTATCTATTACATTGTTATAATTTTATGTTAGTTTACAACCCTCTTGTTACTTATCTTGGCAAGTACTAACATTTCAGGCGCGAAAAGATGCAACTCAAGTTGTTGCAAATTTGCAAAGGCAACAAGTCCATTCACGGTTGATTGCTTCTGATTACTTGGAAGCAAACACTGATCTTATGGATGTTTTGATATTAGGGTAAGTGGAAAGTAGAAAAACTACGTTGTGATCATAATCTTTGCTGATTACTTTTTGTATGTGATCTTATACTAATTTGATATCAATTTTAGAGAATGGGTGTCACCACTAGGAAATAATGAAACTGATTTTAATTTTGTTCTGTAACTATCTTGCATATTCTGAGGTTGATGTCACTTTTTCAGTTATGAGAACACAGACATGGCTTTACATTATGGTGCAATGCTGAGGGAATGCATACGTCATCAGAGTGTTGCAAGGTGAGCACAATGGATGTGGGTTAGGCAAATGCTTAATGATTGGGCCTCCTGGTTAATTGGTTGTGATGGGGACAGTACTTTATATCTGATTTTATTTGTAGGTACGTTTTGGAATCACAGCACATGAAGAAGTTCTTTGATTATATACAACTTCCAAATTTCGACATTGCTGCAGATGCTGCTGCAACTTTTAAGGTTGGATACAACTGCTGCAACCAATCTCCCTCTTCCTTTTTCTCTGTATTCTGATTTTTGAGTACTGGAAAGGACTGTTACATTTTGTCCTCCTTTTTTTTTTTCTTTTTCTTTTTTAATAGAACCCTTCTATATTTCCAGTTGGTATTTGTCTTTTAGTGTTTGCAGTACCTCACTATGCTCTTTTTTGGTTTTTCTTTTTTCTCCTTTTTTACTGCCATTCTCTCAGTATGCATGTTCAGTTATGTACATAACGCTATCTATCATTTTATTATTTTACAGGAACTCTTGACAAGGCATAAGGCTACTGTAGCTGAATTTCTTTCTAAGAATTATGACTGGGTAATTATTGATTTCTACTTAGGTGTCATTTGATCCTTTTTCTTCATATTTGTATCTTTGCATTTGTTTCCTAGTGACATGTATCATGCATGCACTACACATAAAATTGCTCTTGACTTCTGGAGTAAATTGGCACAAAATAGCAATTCTTTAAGAAACCCTGAGCAAGTCCTTAAAGTACTCCAGCCAATCGTTGACTTGAGCTGTAAACACTTGAAGGAGAAATCCTAAAGGATAATCAGGGTTAGATTGCTCTCCCAGGCTAGAAATATCAGAGGGTAACTAGGGACGATGAAGGGGGTGATGACTCACCAAAGCAAGGCTGCCTTGGGGCTAGGCAGGGATTGAAATTGAGGAGTCCAATTTGGTTAAACCTATTAAGGGTCTTCTATGTAAGCCCCTTAGGGTTGTGATGATTTACTATTACATGACAACTAGACACCGTAAATTATGTTAGGATAAGAGAAGCGTCAAAGTTAAGTTTTGACTTTTTTCGATCCTTTTGTTGGTTTGATGAGTCACTTAATTTTGTTTTATTACCTTTTTGTTGTATTAGTGTTTTCATGATTTGTCTAGATACTTTTATGGGCATATATATTACTGTAATAGCTAATAGATAGCTAAGCTTTGTTTCATGGACTGGGGATAAAATTTCTGGCACACATACTTCAAAATTTCTGTAGGATTTCCCTTTTTTTGGAAGGATCAAGCCATCATATCCATACAGATTCGAAGTGTCTGATATGGATGTGGCAGGGTAAAGTGAAGAGTCTGTGTAACAAAGTAGCCAAGAACTCTTTTCACTTTGTAATCAAGATTTTCAATTTTTTAGAGCTCGATATAAACCAACCCTTTTTTTTTCTCTAGTTTTTTGCAGAATATAACTCAAAGTTGCTGGAATCTAGCAATTACATTACCAGACGACAAGCAGTCAAGGTAAAGTCATTGTCAATCATTGGCTTCATTGCCTTCATATATCTTTGATATCTACTTGGGCCATTGCATGATTTTGCTATGTGCATTTGGTTTAAACTTTTAAGCCTTCCTTGCTAAGAACTTTTTCCAATTTTATTTTACCAATACAGTTATTGGGAGATATATTATTGGATCGATCAAACTCAGCTGTAATGACAAGATATGTGAGCTCAAGGGATAATTTAAGGATTCTAATGAATCTTTTAAGAGTATGATACCTTCTCACATTTCTTGATTTCATATGTCAATATCTAAATG